GAAATCATATTTTTCTTCCGATTTAGTTAGTTGGCTATTCCTTGTGTTTAGTTGAAGATGAACCAATGTGTTTGCTCATGGAATATTCATGGAATGCCATGGGCAGGTTTGCGTGTCCTCGTGGCCGCAGTCGCGCAGGCAAGCGTGAGTATGTGGCGTAGCACACAAAATGGAACAATGATATGCGTGACACAATCAACGAATCGGGACCAAACCTGGCCGTATATGTGCTCAATCATTTTGTGCGTAGTGCATGAGATGCAGGTTTTCGTTGCATGCATTTCCATAATTTCCTTGGCGTACTTTTTCTTTCCTCTTTTTTTTTTTTTTTTTTTTTTTTTTTTTTTCTTTCTCTTCTTTTCTTAAATGAAAGAATTTTTTTTTTTCCTTTGGGTGAAACAAAAACAATTAAACGTGAAAGGCAATGTGAACTTTAGAGGGTTAAGAAAGCGAATCGTAATATTTTTTTTTTTTTTTTTTTCTTTTTGTATCCATTTTCAATCAGCTGATCATTCGTCTCACCATAAATAACCAACCTTGCTTGCATTCAGAGATCATTAAATGTGGTACAACGACAAAAAAGCCCTGGCAAATCTTAAAAATTTAAATTTTTTTTTCCCGCAGAGTTTAGTTTCCCTTTGGTAAAGGCAAAAAAAAAAAAAATTATTAAGCCCAAACATCAAGTAAAATGTTGTTGGGCGTTTTTGTTTCTCTTCTTGACTTGCGGCTTGTTTGTGTGGGACCCTTTTTTTTTTTTTTTGTGCATCATTGTTTTTCTTTTTGAATGTTTGAAGTTCAAATAATTACCATTACTATGTGTCACCTTTAAATTATGTTTCTCTGTCAATGATTCATGCCATGCTTGTTTTGGCATAAACCATTATTTGAAATTTCTGAAAACCTTTTGGTGAAAAAAAAAAAAATAATAATTTAATTTACTTTTATAGTAACTTGTGTAAATCATGAAAAAAAAAAAAAAAAAAAAAAAAATGGAGAGGGGAAAGAGAATTAAGCTTCACAACACGTCAAATTTCTCGAAAAAGAAACGGAAAGATTGTCATCTTTACAAGTTACAAGTGTGGTGTTCACGAAAGTTCGAAAGGATGAATTAAAAGTGACACACCACCAACGAAAAGGTTATCTATAATTGAGGTGATAAATGTGGTACTCAACATTGATACTAAAACCCATCTCCATAATCATCATCATGATTTACCAAATCAGTATTTGTTTCAAATAAAATTTTAACAAAAAAAAATAATCAAAAAAGGTATCAAAATATTTGGTAAATATTTAAATTGCAACAAATCACATATCAAGGAAATTGAAATTGGGAAAAAAAAAAAAAAAAAAAAAACCGGATGGAAAAAAATTTTTTTTTTTGACAAGAATCAACATGTAAACAAGGAAATAATAGATAAGATAAAAAAAAACCCACCAAACCAATTTAAATCGTCAAAGGGCTGATCCGCAAAATATTTACGTAAATTTTTTCTATCTTCTCGTTGATTCCGAACTTAATAATGGGAAAAAAAAAAATTTTTTTTTTTTTTACCTTTTTCATAGTGCATCAATGTAATTAAGCTAATAAAATTGGAGAAGGTAAACAAAAATGTAAGGCGCTTCAACTATTCAAAACATCAACGCGCAACTACGCTACACCAGGGAATATCATGATTAAAAGTTTAAGAGCGCAAAAAAAAAAAAAAAAATAATGCATCACTATACATCTTTGTAATAATAATGCACTTGCGCATTATTTTCCAGTGGTGTAAATCCATGTAACCAAAGAAAATTTTTTCTTGATTATGAGGTCTCGCAATGGAACAGAGAAGGTAGATAGTCCGCAACCCCCTTGATTTATGATAAAGTTTATTAAGGCGTTTTTTTTTTTTTTTCTTACAAGAAATTGACGAATCAAGGAAAAAGAGGAATTGATTTCGTTTCCTTCATTTTCAATTTGTTATGCACAATGTAAGCAGGTGTTGTGAAAGATGGCGTAAATTAACAAAAGCTTCCTTAACTGAATCTTTCAACCTTGATGTTATAAAGGTCATCACAAAAGTTAAAAACATTTTATGTTTAAATTGAAGCTAAAACGAAAATAAAATGTATTTATTGGCGGTTATTAACATAATTGGTAAAATTAATAAACTAGAATGATTGAACGCATGCATTATTGAAATAATTGTCATAACTTTACGCCAGATTGATGGAACTAACGTACAATTTTTTTTACCCTCTCGTTCCCCACATTTTTATTTTATTTTATTTTATTTTTTATTATTATTACTGCGAATCATGCACTAATGGAGATTTGTGTGTGAGAAAAATCAAACATATTCTCGCTCAACCCCGAACGCCGCGTAGCTCGTTATGTAAGTATGAAGGCCGGTGGAGTGTTACGGACTATTGCAAAAAAAAAAAAAAAAAAAAAAATTGAAAGAACAAAGGAATAGATGTTTGATTTTGGAATATCTGAATAGGATAAGCGTGCATCAACCCCAAGCTCGAAGACCGCCATGCATGGAATGAATCCAAGAGTTGTTATGATGGTCTTATCTATCCGTTGAGCGTGTGACATGTTTTTATGACATGTTCGTCATGGAACGCCTGGATGCTGTTCAATTAGAGTGATAACCTTGCAAACATGCATGCGCTCTTTAATGGAAGGGACGAAAACAAAAAGGTGTCATTAGCCTTTACAATCTTTTTTTTTTTTTTTGATTGATATGCCCTAAATTAACGTTCGCGTCTGACCAAGTTTTGGATTCAAAATTCACCAATCACAAAAAGCGTTCACGTCGATTAGAAATATTGATAAGAAAAAAAAGGTTAAATATAAACAAATAAGATTCAGAAATAGAAACAATAAAGTGACACGCGATGTCATATAACACGAATTAACAATCGCATGTAAATAATCCTGCATATAAATATAATCGTTATACCTAACAAGACCTGCATTAGGATCCCAATTTAAAATCGGAAAAGAACATGACAAAAAAAAATTTGGTTTACCAACGTGATGGGTTCAGTCAGAAGACCGACCGGGTGATGATTAGTTATCTAGCAGGCATACGTACGTCTGTTGCATATACAGAACAAATCTATACCGTTTTACCCAATGTTTCCTCCAGACACATATTATTAATAATAAACTTGAAAAATAAAGCCACCTTTCCATTAAAGGTTGATCTTATGCTCATGGAAAAAACTAATGATTAATTTGGTAAAATCACTATAAAAGAACGCGTGAGTGCGATGGATTATGATACCACAGAGCTCAAATCTAATATCTTACGCGCAATCATTCATCTTTCCTTATGGAAGGGTCAACCTGAGTCAGAGTCAAGTGACAAAAACAGAATGTTAAAATGAGCCGGCTCGACTTAAAAGGTGAACAAGGATTATTTTAATGAACTGAGTCAAAAGCATACAACCGTGTCGCAATAAAATCTATTACCAATTAACCACCAAATAATAGGTATACATAAACTAAAAATATTAACGATTATTTTTTATTTTCTTCATAGCAACCGCAATGGATCCGTCATTTAACATTAATAAAATAACAATATGGATAATAATATAATAATAATAATAAAAAAAAAAAAAAAGAGTATGATAATCAGGAACTTTGTAAATCTTTATTTATAATACATTACATAACGAGGATAAGATTAGATAGGGAAAACAATTAATGAATTTGCCAGCTTCATACAATCCCGATATTAAAAGGAGAGTTGAGGAAATCCTTACGCTTAGAATATGGCGTATATCGTGGCGAAGCTGTTTGAGCGATGTGATTGCACTTGAAGCTTGAAAAGATTTTCCGTTTGTCACGTGAATCTATATTGGTATTGTGATCCTTACAAATTTAGCCGGTCCCGTACGCAACAAATCGTAATCTTTAGAATTCGGAGTTTCGGCTATCGTAATTACGTTGATGAAAATAACCTTTTCCGTCAAAGACCCGATGATAACTTGTTTTCCACAAGATTTAAAGGGTTCAAGGAGAGAGAAGGAGAAAAACAATTTCACGCGTTAAACATTATGTGACACCATCAACCTGTGTAAAATTATTTGTACTGCATACATGCTATGCGTCAATGTGGATAACACAAATCTACACATGTACTCGAAAAATCTGTCACCATGTTGTGTTATGCATATATACTTTGCTGGCGCGGGAACCTTAATAAATGATTTCCATCTTCGGTTCCCAGATCTCTCTTACTTTACGATTTTCTTTATTTTGCCACGCTGTGTAAATAAAATAATTTTTTATTTTTATTTTATTTTTATTTTTATTTTTTTCCTACAACCGAGAAACATCATGGCTCTTGACGTAAATAAAGAACGGCAAGATTGCGGGTAACATTTAATACGGTGCAACCCCAAATAACATTACTTTCCTGATGTGACACCTCATTTACTATTGATACTACTCTTTCATAAATTAAAAATGTTATCAAATGTTATCAATGGTCTGAATTAAAAATAAAGTTTCTTTATAATGAGAAAGTTATGGTTTGTGGGGCTTAGCATATTTAAAATTTTTTTAATGACTATTGAATGCTTGTTTTGAAACTTGTTGAAAATGATTTATCAATAAAAATTGCGATATTGAGATACAAATAAATATACAAACACCAAGTAATTATCACTATAAAAAAAAAAAGATTTTGTTTGGCAAAAGAAAAAAAATTAAAGTGATCGACTTTTGTAGATATGGGCTTAGCAAAGGTATTACAAGATATATTGGTTGTATTATATACTGTAACTTTTGTTGGATCGCCACCATATTCAATCACATCACGACAACAATATATTAATGGTATAACGTAATATCTCTTTTTTTAAAAAAAAAAAATTATCGAATATTCTTTTTCTTGATCTTTCATTGAAATCATATTTTTCTTCCGATTTAGTTAGTTGGCTATTCCTTGTGTTTAGTTGAAGATGAACCAATGTGTTTGCTCTACAAAAAGTTCTTTGTTAAAACCAACCATCATTCAAGTAAAGTAAACCTTTTTTATTCAAATAAGGTGAACTTACATGATTATTATTCTACAGATGTAGTGTAAAAAAAAAAAAAAGTTGTCATGCAAACTTGATTTAAATCAGGGAGATGAAAGCACCTAACTAAAGACAATCA